ACTTTTACAAAAATGGGCAAAATGAGTCCCATTGCAGCAAGTTTATTTTCATAGTTCACATACCGCAATCTTCACGTACCAGTTTCAGATGTATGATTTTTTTAAGCGGAAGTTCTGATGGCAGTATTACTAACTTTCATTGTGAGGTAGTTGCTCTTGGACTAAAAGAGCTGGGTGGGGAAGAATGGGACACTTAGATGGACTATTGCTTAATGGCTTAGCAGTTCCTCACGGGTCTTTGCTCTAAGGATGTGTGAATGCCGTGACCTTTGGATCATGCTTTCTTCTTGTGCCCCTGAATTTATTGCAACAAAAGTCATATTCAGCCAAAAACACTAAACTTTTTGAGGAAAAGTTTGTTCTGAAAGCTTTTTTTTTTTTTTCCATTTTAAATTTACTTTTGATCATGGTTTCCACTGAATGACTGATACTGCACTGTTGCAATCTAAAATAAGCTTGTTGGCAATGGAAGGGAAAAGAGTCCAGCACCCAGCAGTCAGAAAACCTGAATTCTCTCGTCTTGCCAGTAACTATGTGACTTTGGGTGAGTCACTTCCCCTCTAAGGGACTCAAGGTCCTTATCTACAAAAAAAGTACATTGCTCTAAAATGTAGAGTCTTAAATCATTTCTGTTGTCATTTATACCTCTGTGATTTGAAATGACTTGCAATACTGCTTAAGAGGTATAGTGAGAGCAAATGGGACTTTTTCAGAAAGAAAGCAAGCTTTCCCTTGAATGCCCTTCAGGGAAGTTTCTTAGGAAGTACTAATAAGGGCTGACCTCTAAAGAAAAGCTTTGCCCACTGGATTCACTAGATTGCCAAGTAAGAACAGAAGAGTTTTTTGGGGAAAGATTGTGTTGTAATATGATATTCTGGACCAGGAAATTTTCTCTCCATCAAGACATTCATCTAAAAGAGAGAAATATTTATTTATTCATTTATTACACATGTATTTGTTGAGCACCTACTGTGTGTGCAGGCACTGAACTACTTGATGAGGAAACAGCAGTAAACTAAACAGGGCACTCATTCTCATGGACTTATAGCCTTGCATGTGAAACAAAGAAATACGCACGCTAATTACAGATGGCAGTAACAACCATACAGGAAATAAATAGAGGATGTGCTTGAGAAGGCCGAAACCTACCGTCCTCTCTCACAGGAGGTGGTGTTGACCCTGAGGCCCAAGGGATGAGAAGGAGCAGGCTATGCAGAGAATCAGGGGAGAGCGTTTGAGGGCTGTGGAAAGGTCCTGCGATAAGACATTGAGAGGAGACAGTGTTAGATGACCAGAGAGAGATAAAGGATTCCTGGACTAGGGTTGTACTGTTGGAAATGAGAGAACTGAATAGATTTGAGATATATTTTCAAGATGGAAATGACAAGACTCAGTAATGAATTGAATATGGGGAGTGAGGGGTAAGGAGAAATCGAGGAAATGTCTAGGTATTTGTCTTAAGCAATTGAGTGGCTAGTGCCATTTACTGCATTTACTGAGATAGGGGAGTGGGTTTTTTTTTTTTGGATAGAAGAATAAAGAATTTTGTCTTAAATACACTGCATTTAAGATACCTTTGAGACATCCCAGGGGAGAGTCAAGGAAGCAGTGAGTTGTCCAAACCTGGAACTCAGGGCAGAGGTCAGGGCTCACCCCAGAAACGGGGGAGTCATTGGCGTGAATAGGTGGCATTATATGCTTGGGGCTGAGACCCTAGTGGGCAATGGTTCTCTACCTCAGCTGTCCATTGGGCCCACTCCCAGAGATTCTGATTTAATTGAACTGATGTGGGGCCTGGACACTCATTTTTCAAAGCTCCCTAGAGAGTTGGGTTTTTGTTGTTGTTGTTGTTGTTTTTTTTTAATCCAACTAGAAAAGAAGAGCCACTATTCAAGGGAGAAAGTGCACCTATAGAAGAGGATGCAGGACTGAGCTTTTACGTAGTCTTAAATATAACACAAGAGTTTTCCACTCTTTTATTGATACTTTTTATCCTGCTGGGAAGATCCAGTCTTTGGCTCTTTGGCTGAGGTTTAGTTCCCCCTGCACCACTGCCGAGTACCCTGTCCTTGGTTTAAGTCAGTGTGCTCTTTGTCTTCCTCGGTCGATTTCTTAGGGGATTGCTTAGGTGCTAAGGATTTAAAGTACATCTTCTTCCAGCCAATCATTCAAGTGTTACCCTGATGTGGTTTAGTGGTAGTGGGTTTTGTCATGCTTGAAAGACGAAGAGCCTGTTCAGCTTTTGCTCTTCATTGTATTGTATGAATTTTGTTGTGGTCGTGGTGGTGGCTGTGCAGGGGCGAGCATCTACAAGGAAAAACACACGTTTTTTCTATATATTCAGCCACAGAGAGGTGTCCCCTGAATTCCTCTAGGGTGCCTGTAGATACTTGGTAGCTCCTTTTGGAAGATAATTTCCAAAAGGTCATTAAGGCTTTTAAAGTTTCATCTGCTCTTAAAATTTTTCACACTTACCAGTGCTTCTCATGTCCTTTATTTTTGCCTCTATACCTCCAGTTACTCCTCTGAAGCACTGGGCTAAGAGAAAATAAAAGTGTACTCACACGTCCATATGCTGAGCTCAAATCTCATACGGTCTCCATGAAAACCTAATGAAAAGGCTGTAGAAAGCAGAGGCAAAGCTTATTAAATTTTCTTGTGACCCATGGCCCACATAAAGTCCCACTGAATAAAGGAACCATGCAAGATCATGTAGCCCTCCCCTCAGCCCTCAGGGAATCTGCCATTCCAAAAATATGGCCTATTAAAAAAAATAACTTCCAGGGACAATTCCATAAGCTTTCTTGTTAATGTTTACAGCTGTATCAACATCACACCAATACTTTTTTGTATGTGTGTGAGGAACAGAATCCACAGATTTAACTGTGACAAGTCCTATATAATTCCCTAATCATGAAACTAGTTAGACACAGCAAGATGTATTGATGGAAGTTTGTTTAGGGTAATGGGTGAGCTATTAACTTTGTAATTGAATCCTTGCTGCTCCTTCTACTCGCTTTGAAAAGTGGCCTTGACACTTCACAGGGCTTAGTTCTTAGGTATCTCACGTTGTTGATCTGGATATTTTTCAGTCCTCTGTAGCAGCTGGGAGAGGAAGGGGAGAGAAAGCTAGAATGCCAACAATGATGGAGCCACATGATGAGTGGACAGCTTAGTCAGCCAAGGCAAAAACCGTATCCTAGTCCAGGACGAGCTGGTCGTATCTGTGGACCGTGGGGTAGTTGTTTTACCTCTCTGGAGCTCGGTCACTTCATCTGTGAACAGCTCACTTGCTAGGGTCTAGGAGCTGTTTGGAGTAATCTCTGAAAGTTCTTTAGAGTTCCAAAATCTCTTTGTAATCTAGATAAAAAGTCATAAGTGGTAGAAAAAACAGCCATCAACAAACAGTGAACTACCCTATTTTTTTCTGATCATTTTTCTCCTGGTCTTAGTCCCTCTGTTATAGCAGATGCCCCAAACTTGCACTGGCAGGAAATAGGGTGGTGGGTGCATTTCAGTTAATGGGTCTAGTTGGAACATGTTTGGCTGTGGAGACAGCTACACTCATATTACCAAGCCTTGGCTTCCTGTCTGTTTTCTTTGGGCTGGGTAGGCAATGAAAAAGGAGACAGGAAAATACATTTTGGGGCAAATAAAATAAGGAATTTGTCTTATGAAGACAGCTTATAGTTGGGAAATTCTAATGTTCAACTTAACCCTATCCTGATATTCCTCTTATCCTATACTAAGTGGAAGATGAGCTGTTCTTGCTACCCATAGAATATCTCTTCCCATTACTGATAGTTCTTAATACTCCCCCTTCAATGTTTTTTTTCTTTTGCGGATATTAATCCTCATTCACTTAATCAAAAAGCAAATTCTTATCCCAGTCTTCTTAATCGCTCTTTAAATCAGCTTCAGTTACTTAACATTTTACTAAAATGTTAGGGCAACATACTAGGACGTCAGGGGTATGTAGAAGAAGGAATAAAGAATATGGAAGAACGAAGCCACAGTGTATTCCCGTTTATGTATTAGGCATTATTGTACTTGTTCACTGCAGCATGACCATACAGATTCACACTTAATTAATATTGCACCAAGACAATACTATACTATTTATTAAGATCTGATGATTTTAAAGAAGTCTTAGTACCTTCGTTATATTTTAATTTGTGTATTTCTTTTTAACATCTAAAATTCCTTGGATTTTAGACTTGAATAAACTAGAAGAGAGATTTTTTTTGTTGTTTAAATAATGGATTCTCACATTCACATGATAACCCAAAGGGTATTTTTCAATTTCTTTTATAAAACCACAGTACTAGATTTAAAATAAAAATGCATTCTTTGTGATTTAACATAGTTTATTATATGCTTTCAGGCTTTGGCATATCACAAAATTCCTCTTGAGAAATTGAGTTTCTGTGCCTATATTTCTGTTTTTTTCCTCCTAAAGGGGTTCTAGGATTGAGTTTTAATTGATCAGAAAAGAGTCTCAGTAAGGTATTATTTGTAACATGAAAAAGAAAAAGTCACCATGGTCATCATGGAAATTTCTCTTTGACAAATGTGTTTGTCTCTGTTTCTGCCCCAGCGTGGGGATAGTAGGTGTCACATGCACAGACTCTCTGAACTTTCAGGGGAGGTTTTGTCCTTCATGCAACAAGGGAATACACCCCAGTACACAGTCCCCTTTCCCTTCCTCTCTGAGAAGGGGAGAGGAGGCACCCAGAGGGTTCCTCTTGAGCTCCAGCATCCTGGCCTCGCTACTGATGCTGGACTTTTAGTCACCCTCTGGGACCCTCAGCTCCCTGTTTATAGAATAGAACAAGGAATTCTTGCCACTAGATGATGCTTTATATAGACACTTCATTATGAGTACCAGTATTGATAATTCCTTGGCTTAAACCCCCGGTATGTATGTTCACATATCTATTTAGCATGGTCAATTGTTCAGCTAATTAATATGCTTTTATTTTATGATTTGCTGTTTCCAGGGCACAGACAGAAGCTTGATGACTCTAAACCTAGTTTGTTCTCTGACCGCCTCAGTGATTTAGGGCGCATTCCTCATCCCAGTATGAGAGTAGGTGTCCCGCCTCAGAACCCACGGCCCTCCCTGAACTCTGCACCAAGTCCTTTTAATCCACAAGGACAGAGTCAGATTACAGGTAAGACAGACTCCTAGGTTTCACTTGCACAGACATTGGCAGGCTGGGGGTGAGGGGCTACCAGATAAGATGTGTTCACTTCAAAACTCCTGGACCTATGAAATGGCTGATTATTAAAGGATCAAGACTTGAAGACACAGACCTTCTTTTTTATAAAAGAAATTCCAGTATTCAGTCACTTTGGAATGAAATGTGGGTGAAGTTTCTACTGACGCTGGACTCTGTAGTCACGTCAGTCTGCACACTGGTGGAATGGTAATGACTATGTTCTCGGGGAGAATGTTTGTTACAAGTTTCTGTACTGTGTCCAGGCGGTGCAGGGGATAACATCACACCCTCACTATTAGAAAATTAGAGCTACCGTCTCAGATTTGGGCTTAAATTTCTTTTATGTATAACTATTTCATTAAGTTTTCTTGAAAATTGCCGAGGGCTAACAGGAAGCCTTGATTGGTGGTTATAAGGCAAGGTCAATGAGCGGCTCATCGGGCAGACCCAATTTACTTCTGATTCACATTTAACTCTGTTTCCTCAAGTGACATTTCTCTTTATACACTCTAGTAAGCCGCTTACTTTACCTTTATTCTTAAAAATTCACATCAGCATTGCATTACAGACTAATTCACATTTCGTACATTAAAGACGCCCACCTTTTTTTTTTTTTTTCCAGCCCCACTTATACAAAAACAGATCTTATTTTAGGACTAGTCTGCTTGCTTTTAGGTCATGCTGACAAGAGAGCGTGTTAATCATCAGAGATCTTTAATTTGCAGATCACAAGTATTGAGAGCCGAAAGAAATACAACATGTCATCTAGTTGCTATTGTTGGCAGAGGTGGACTAGAATAGAGGGGAAAATAAAACAAAATGTACAATAAACTCTCAAAATGGGTATTTTTTAATGGTTAGGTTTTTATCTATAGTGGTTAGGTTTAAGAGGCCTCAGTGGTTTATAAACATAATTGTTTATAAATTAAATGACCTCCCTTTCCTTCTGTCCTGCCCACATTAGTTTTATGTCTTCTTGGATATTTACTTAGAGTAGGTTTCTGTGGGTATAGGAATATTAGTCTGAATATACCTGTATGCCTGAGTATCTGTTTAAAAAATAGTACAGAATTATAAAAATAAAATATCTGAACACTTTAGAGAACCAGATATCTGTATCTTAGTAGAGCTCTGTGAAGAATAGTGAATAACCATGTCTTAGCCTAAATAAATTTCTAAATGTTAGTATGTAGGAATCAAACAGATAATGTGTTTAGGAGACATGTGTCCTTGATAAAAATGCAAACATGAAATTCACACTAATGTGAATTTGAAGCTTATAGCTACAGGTGCTTCTGCATTTAAAGTAGTAGACTTTGGATCACTGATTAAAGTTCACAGTACCTGTCCTTTTGTCTTCATAGTAATCCTTAGATGGGGTGTGTGTGTGTGTGTGTGTGTGTGTGTGTGTATGTAGAAGCAAGTGTACACATACATAACAGTGTTTATGATTTGTAAGGGACTTATAATGGCTAGTTATATGTATTTATATATTCTAATTTTTAATTATTTGCTAATTATATTTTGCTAATGACTAATGCTTTTAAAATGATCTTTGGAACCTGTGTGTTGCTAAATTCACTTAAGAAGTTGCTTTTCTCAAGATTTTGTCCTCAGACCTAAAGATGACATCATAAAATATAACCAGCCAAAAAGTTGGTAAAAGTTATGAAGAAGAGCTACATTTTAGCAGCAGTGCCCCTCTTCCCCCGTCGCTATGAGTGCAGAGAGTGTAGGGCAGGTTGATGCCAGAAGAGCACCTGAGCAGATCGGTGTGTGGCCACCTCCACGCACGGAGCACTGCTCCAGTTGTGAGCCGCTCCCCACCCTCCTCCATTTGGAAGCTCAGGGAGGTTAAGGTCCTTGTCTACAGTTTCATAGCCAGGTAGTGGCAGAGCAGAAGTAGATCTCTTGACTCCTAAGGCAGTATGGTTTTTCTTTTACAATACCATGCTGCAACTCCATCATGATCATTTAGAAATAGTGTTTCAATAGTCACTGGATATATTTCTAAAAATGAAAATAGAAAACAAGTTTATTTCTAGGTACTGAGAGCTTTTTGGAATTTTATTACAAGAGTATTAGCTCTGCATTTTGGGATTATAGCATAGTAGAATTGATTTCTAGATCAGTCTTCTCTCTCTCTCTCTTTTTATTTTTTACATCTGCTAGGTATTGCGCCCAACAACTTTCTCAAACTTTCCAAATCTGAAGAGTCACACACACATACGTGACACCCGTACCCACTTTTGGCCACGTGCACCTTATTTAACTTCTCCCATATTGTTAACGAGACAATACAAGTATTTGCCCATAACCAAGGATTTCTACCATGCAGAGTTCTCCCATGACCAAATTATTAGGAAAACCCAAGAACACCCATAACAGCAGCAACTTCAAAGTAAACTTTAGATATTATTTTTTCCTCTCTGGATTGATTTTCTTATTTATTGAGTAAGTATGACACTTAGAGCCTACCACATATAGAGAATTGGGTCACAGGTAATATGAGGAGAGAAGAAAAGTTCTGTCCTTGAATTAAAGTCTAATTGAAGAGAAAGTTACTTTTTTGTGTCCCAGGCTATGATATTGTTGTCCCTTGAGTACACATTCTTCTCTCTCTACCCCGCTCCTTAGTCTGTTCTACCTGCAGTGGTCTCTGCCCACTGACGGGACCCACCCATCTTTTAGGTCACTGTTACCTTCTTCAGGAAAGAATCCTGGAACTTTCATCTAGAAGGCTGCTTATCCATCTTCTAAGCTTTAGTTGAGATAGCCTTATATTATAGCTCCTGTGAATTTGCTTTTTTCTCTCCTGCTAGATTATACATTCTTTGAGGGATTTAATATAGGGATTAATTTTCTTTTGTGCCTCCTAGCATACTGGTAGCATCTCATTAAATGTTGAATTAATAAAAGTTTAGATGAGAAGCAATCAGTGCAAGAAGAGGGGGAATATCATGCCTTGTTAGCATTAACTCTTCTTTCTAATTTCCTATTCTGGGGTGTCACTGTTCCCTGGTAGTAAACAAGAATGACAGAAATCACATTTCAGTGTAGCACTTACATAGTTAAACCATTTGGTGTCATTCTAGTTTTGGACCTACGTAATTGCATGATTAAATTTAAATTCTACTTAAGAGCCTACCAATAATGGATTTTGTAACTTCTTTGTAATGTGTCACATCTGCATTTTTAGTTCATGGAACTCTTCAGATAAAGATATTTGTAACAAAAAGGGCCCAGTTAACTCTTACTGGCTTGGCTTTTTTGATATCTCAAGCTCTTACCCCAAAACTGAAGATAATGATCATGGTTGTATAGTCACTACTAGTTCTCACACTTGCCAACGTAAAAGGCAAGTCAAACTCCTAGAAGTGCCAAATGAAATTAGAAATCATAAATTGAGGAAGTCATAAGCACTTAGTGTTTCATGTGTTGCTCTTCAGTGTCTCTTGCAATTCCTAGGGCTAGAGATTCTAGGAATCTCTCGGAATGCAGTGGGCTGGCTTCTTAGCATTGCTGGTCTGATGGTGTCACTGTGTTGTGGTCTTTAGTGGCTGAAGTTCTGTCCCGTAAGCTGACGGCCCAGGGCCTCCTAACGGCTTCCTGAGGAAGTAGCTTCCCCTGTACCTTTTCTTATCTTTTAGACATCTGGTGCCTGTCTCTGGGTGCTAAGAAACACCTAGTGTGTCGCAAATGTCTCCTTTGGACTTAGAATGTGGCAATAGCAATAGAGTAGGGAAAGCGTGTTAGGAGAGATCACTCAAGATAATTACTGTTTAAAACTCAGTGCTTCCTGGATGGATGAATGGCTCCTAAAAAAAAAAAAAAAGCTTACTTAGGCTGTTGGGTTTGGTGGACTGGAACTTTCATCTAACCTTTGGGGTGTGCATTGTGCTGTTCTGTTATTCAAGTCAATAAGATAGATACAGTTTCTGTTTCCAAGGAGCTTACATTTTAGTGACAGATATTAGGTAAATAAGCATACACATAAGACAATTTTAGATTATAGTAAATGTTTTGAGAAAATATAATAGGATAATGCAATAGCAATTTAAGAAGGGAAGAAGCTAACTTTGATTAGAAAGTTTGGAAAGGGCTCTTTGACGAGCTTTGAAGGTCTGTGAGCAACAGCATTTCAGGCAGTGAGAAGCTCACGCAGAGGGTCTCAGGAAGCAGTGAATGTGGTGTTTACGGGACAGGAAGGTCAGTGTAGGCGGAAAGCAGTGAACAAGGGGAATGATGATACAAAAAGGCAGGCAGGGGCTAGATTACAGAGAGTCTTCAAGGCCCTGACAGGGAGCTTGGTTGGGTTTTGTTCTGATTACAGAGGGATACTACTGCAGGATGTGAAGCACAAGGATATTATATGTTTTTTAAAAAATCACTTTGGATGCTATGTGGAGCATAGATTATAAGGGGGCAATGGTAGAAGCAGGGTCATCATTTTGGAGGCTACTGTCGTAGCCCCAGGAGAGAGTTGAGGATGGTAGTATTTTTCTTTCTTCAAAACTCAGGTCAAATGACGGTACCTCTGCCAGGTCCCTCCCCCCCTGAGCTGAGTCTAAGTTTTCCATACTGATGACAATTATTTGTTTACATGTCTGTCTCCTCCATCAGATTTTGAACTTTCAAAGTCTAGGGCCATGTTTGTTTATTTCTGTATCCTCCTTGTCTTACATAGTGCCTTCTGCTTGGTGACTTTGGTTTGGTGATAAATGAATAAACAGGTCATTAACTTCTTCAGGAAGTGCTACCTATTATTATTCTAGCCCTAATATTTTTCTAGTACCTATTGGATTGAATTTCTGTTAGCTACCATTTACTGAATGTGTATCGTGTGCCAGGTATCATTTAATGGGGTTAACTAATTTAGAACTCACAATAGCTCTATGAAATAGGTGGCTTTGTTATGAAAACTGAGGCTCAGAGAAACTAAAACACTTGCC